TGTGGTGCGGATTCGCCATTGCACCAGGTTGTGAGGGATGGAAAAGACCCTGGAACTGCATTTGAGGAGATTGTGCAGCGGCGTTGAAGGATGGATGTGATGTATGGGATGGTATATAAGCACCATGAGGCGCTTGACCAGCTACGTTGTAATATGGAGGAGACTGAAGGCTTGAAAGATCTCTTTGATTCTGCATCCAAATATCAGAAGTCTCAGGCTGCTGCTGTGCCACATAAAGAAACACAAATCAGAAATAAAGCATAACAGCAAAAACATGTGGTTAGTGCAAGAGGAATATAGTTATCATTTACCTGAGGGTTTGGAACGTAAATATTTCCATCTTTGTATTTCATGCGAGATGGATCTTCAAGACCCATGGCGTTTCCAATTACATTGGGAGAATTCATCTGATATCCATTAGGGTTGTTGTAAGTCCCAAAACCTGTAGGAGTTGGGACTGGCTTGAATTGCTGGATGCCATACTTGACACCATTTGAACCAGGAATGGGATGAGAACCACCACCTCCAGGCATCAGAACATAGCTATTGCCATTTGAAGGGTGTTGTGCATACGCCGCTGGGTTGCCTGAGTAGCCAGCCATGGGCATCTGTGGAACATAGACTGGGGAGACGAACTGACGATAAGGCATAAGATTAGGGAAATGTGCAACTTGAACCTGCGGGTACATCTGTTGCATTGACGCCTGTTGTTGTTGTTGTTGCTGCTGCAGCATTGGAACCGTAGATGAAGGGCCATTGTTCACCATTTGAGTACTTAATACCTGATCCATTTGCAAAATAATACCTTGTTAGTTTTTTCTTGGCTAATGAAATGAAAGATAAGACACATGCAAGGACATAAACTCATCCTGGCACGCCAAGCAACAGCAGGAACATAAATTACCTCTTGCTGAGATGGTAATCCTTGTCCTCGTACGTTTTCATTCATTGCAGGACTAAGATACTGAAAGTCATAACTACCGTGATTACCATATGCCTGCTGGAAAGGACAAAGAGTGTTAAATTTTGAATAAATATATCTGTCTTGGTCTTTTCAAAAGACATAATTGCAGGAAACCTTACCGAAACTTTTTGCAACTCAGGAGAATCTTTGTGCTGTTCAAACTCTAAAGGAGTATAATGTGGACCATCCCTGTTGAGCAATTGAATTTCCGAGTACTCATCCAAATTGTCAGATCTGTGAGCTTCCTTCTCTTCGGGTAACTGTTGCTCAGATGCCACCGACACACGTGAATCAGATTCAGAAACTCTGACTTGATCATCAAGAATATCGATAGGCTTATCGCCCGGACTCTCTGGAGAAGAAACTGGCGAACTGCAAACAATAGCACCAAGTTACTTGAGGAAAGATAAAAGATGATCTTAAACTTTATTCAAAAAAATAATAACACCAACTTACCTACGATCGGTTTCTCTAAGTTCTTCTGAAGAGCATGATTCCTGGAAAGCAGATTCTGAATTTATTGAAGAACTAAACTCTTGCACAAAGCTACCAAAAGTAAGCTGACATCGGTCAGTCTCTGGGACACGAATATGATCTGCGATGATGACATTCTGGCTTTCACTGATGTGAACATGCGAAAGCTTATCTTGCACCTTAACAGCCTCCGATTCCAAGTTTATTGAGTTATCATCAGAACGACAAGCCTGAGACTTTGCAGGTGCTCCAATGACTCCAGGGTTATGTCCAACAGGTTTTTGAATAGGTTTAGGCTTCCATTCCTTGTTCTGTGAGACTCCTGCATCAAAGAACAGGTTGACCAAGAATATCAGAAGTCATGATAGGAAATCGCTTCTCACCAGAACTTCCCAATAAATTGAAAAAAGGAATATCAACCAAAACATAAGCTATACGCAAAATTCATAGTGCCTCGTGAGGCAAAATGGTTAGCAGGAAGAGAGTCAAAATGGTACCGCAACCATTCAATAAATTAATATTTGCATATAAATTACCTTTTGTATGGCCACCAACTTGTTGTGTTCTGGCATTTTGGCTTCCTCTGTTTCCACGCTGCCTGTTCAAAAGAGGCCTATTCTTTTCGCTGGGCAAAACAGACTCTCGTAAAGTAGTTTGACTGACTTGATCAATCTTTGAATTTGGGGAAGATGATCGATAAGCATTTGGAGTCCCAATCTTTCTAATCGAGGACCCTGACAAAGAACCAGCAGATGCAGATGGATCTTTCCCAACATTTTCAGAAGGTTTTCCACCAAATCCTCTACCTCTTACTTCACGTTGAATAGCTCCCACAGGTGATGATCTAGAAACAGGAGATGGTACATGAACTGGATCTGTGGAAGACGAATATACACCAATATCTGAATTGGTTGATGCCAAGGTAACACTACGGGCCGTCTGCTTTCCATCAGAGAGTTCTTTTTTAGTAGGATGCTGCAGTGGAGCAATTTCAGCATCTCTGAGCCTGACATCACCTGCTGAATTACAATCTTCGGCAAAATCTTGATCCCCAGGAGATCGACGATTGCCTAAACCACCTGTTAAGCTGGCAAACAATGAAAATAAGAGCCACAATCTTATTTTTCTCATCTGAATTCAGCATAGCTTTTTCCTCAAAATTATAAGATAACATGTTTGAGGTAAACTGCAGTGGGATGTCTACCAAGTGAACATAAGTAAAACTAATGTATGCTTCTTATTGTCTTAAAGAGTCTTAAGTAACTTATTTTTTTTAATAGTACAGCTACAGGTGCATACTCCCTGACAGGAACATTAAAAACAATCATTAAAGAGTATCATGTTTTTGCAAACAAGCAAAGCAAGCCGGCGATAGAACATGCTAGAATAAGAAGAGCAGGAGAACGTATAACTGAAAAACATACCCCTTTTGGTTTTGAGAGGCCATTGCTTTGCTAATATTTAATCCTGAAGACTGGGCGGAAGTATGCTTCAACTCTTCACCAACATTTGGATTAGACCTGTTGTCTCTAACAACGCGAAACTCTCTCTTGGATCCTGCACTAACATGAAACAAACCAAGTCAGACACACAAAACAGTATTTATAGAGGAATATGGTCCATGCATAAAATGAAACTTGAAGGCCTAACGCCAATCACAAAGATTCAAAAACTATAAGATAACATGCATTACAATCCGGTTTCTTCTAGTTTTTTTTTTCACCGGAGGCTAAAGGATTGTGGCACAGACATAACGGAAAAAACTGGCAAGTATATTATCATCATGTTGATTTACCAGTAGAAGGATTCCTAGGAAATGCATTTCGTGGACCAGCGTTCCTAGGAAAGGCATTCCTAGGAAATTCATTTCGTGGAGAATTATTCCTAGAAAACTCATTTCGTGGAGCAGCGTTCCTAAGATACTCATTTCGTGGAGCAGCGTTCCTAGGAAATTCATTTCGTGGAGCAGCGTTCCTAGGGAAGACATTCCTACTGTAGCCTTCTCTCCGAGCATTATCTTCAGGCTGTGTACGAACATTCACTTCACTGGTAACATTTTCAAGAGGTTTCTTCTCTTCGGCAGGCTCATCCAATACTGCAACCTGATACCAAAGGACATTCCTTATAAAATCAGGGTTGCAACAAACTTTCCCACATAGAAACTGACCTCCAAACTCAACCCGAAAACATAAAAGAAAGGTCCTAATGATCTCCAGAGATTCAGCAAACTATTTGAATGTATACAAAACTTGAGAAAGTTTCCGAACACTAACGAAGTCTCATAACAAGGATGGTCTGAATCTCCACTAAACACAACAAATAAACATAGAACATGTAGACACCCAATGATATATACAAGCACTATAAAAGACAATCTTCAAATGAAGTAGAAGGTTAAAAAAACATTTGTGAGCTTTACCTCTTTCTTCCTGTCTCTTCTTCTCTTCACCTCATGGAATGGATCTGAAACAAAAGAAAGTCTTTATTAGCAAAACAAAACGGTAATCAAAACAGTAACAATTATCAACAAAACTAAAAACCGAAACTTTTGCATAACCCATTTACAGCATTCAACACACGCACGGAAAGACCCTATCTTTCATTCAAAGAGACGAAAAGACAAACCTTGATGAATCAGCTTCTCCACAGCCTCGTCGGCGTTCATGTCAGCTTCTTTCAAGGCTGTGTAAATATCAGCGTCGGAGTGATTACCCACGACTTCTCTAATCGATTCAATCATCTTTCTCCCTTCATCGTCATCACCATCGGGTCCCATCACCCGATTACCGCCGGTTCTAGACCCAGTCACCATCACCCGATCAAAGCCCCTATCGGAGATAATCAGATAACAAGGATCGAAGGCGAATTGCGATTGAGTGAGGTTGTTGCCGCTGGTAGTGATTCGAGTCTCTTAAACCCTAAGTAAAAGATCGGAGAAGACGAGAGAGATGAAAAAGAAGTTTAAGAAGATGGACAAAAATAGGTTCGAATTAAAAAAAAAAACTAATTGGGTAATTGTAAAATGACCATTGTACCCTTGATATCGAGGATTTGGAAATTTCCAAAGGATTTTCTTTTTTTTTTGGAAACACAGAAATTTCCAAAGGATGTGAATACAAAATAGTTGAACAAAAAAAAAAAAAGTAAATACAAAATAGTAATACTAGCTTTTGCTAGTTTTCCATTTTTTTCTGCTTTTTGCTTTAATTGATTTGTCCAATAAACACGTCAAACATAGTAGTAGAGTGATGTTTAAATTATTTGTTATTGACTCAAATAATGGTCAGTCAAAATTATGATTTAATCATTAAAATAGGACTTGCATTAAAATGGTATGTATATAATAGGACTTACATGGAAATGTTTTTTTTGCCAAATACATGAAAATGTTATGCACTCACTTTGGCATCTTGTCTAAGAATGGAAGATGACAAGAAAAATATCAGTTTTAGTGATAATATATAAACCCAAACGAATTTCATAGAAGTTGCATATAGATAAATAACATATCATTGATAATAAATAACACCAAGAACATATGTTGAAAGAGTAACTACATTAATACACCTACACAAGAGGAGAAGAGAAGATAGTTACTGAGTAACAAATCATCAACTATAAAGAAACTTTGCATGACCTATCTACAGCAATCTATCTACATACATACAACTCATGCTAGATTTGAAAAGGCAAAAAAAAACATGATGTTGTAGCATTCGGTAGTGAAAACAATAAGACCGCCAAAGAGGAAGAAAATGAACAGAAGAGATAAAAGAAACCACATGCATTATCTCAACCCAAACAGTGTATTTTCATCAATGTGTGTAGCTTTTCTCCAAGTTAAAACATTTTGTTAAAAAAAAGAAAAGTGTTTTGGTTTTGCTGTGTCAGATTCTTCTTGCGGAGAGCATCCATCACAAGTACTGCTGTTGTATCCGAGCTTTGTTCTCTTCCCACCATAATCTTGCATTTGTTTCTCCAAACCTATCTCGACTGCAACAACAACAAGATGTTACCAAGTGCTTGCTTTTTCAGTAGGCTTTCTTTACTTAGCAAATGAAAGTGTAATGTTTTTTTATCTACCTGAAGCGAACGCGTCTAAGCTCGCGAGTCCCATCTGGTAAAGCTCTGATTGTGATGTAAACACCGTCTTCATCTTGTTCTACCCATTCTGTTTCGTTGTCACTCGCATTACTTACTGAGACCTCCTCTGAATGCTCTGCATCTTCTTCTTCTTCTTCTCCTCCTCCTCTTGATGAGCCACTACTTCTTGCAGACCCAACAACCGATGATGTCTCAGTTTTGGTGCCACTTATGCTAGAGAGTTTTGGCGTTGTTGCAAGACCAGAAGAATCACTTTGGTACCGACTTTGTGGTTGTGGTTTTGGTTGGTGAGCTAGTGAGCTAGAAAAAGTGTAGCCTTTTCCTCGAGGGCATTCATTGTTTAGAGGTGGAGTTGCAGGTCCATTCTTGGTAGAGCTCTGGCATACCAAATGAAAATTGTCAACGAATCAATGAATGGATTCATATGTTCATCAGACTCAAAGACAGAAAGTGTATATACCTCATCTTTGGATGTAGGAGGAGTTGGAAACGGTACACTCTGCTGATTAAACTGCTGCACATTGTATAACTCCATGACCTTTTCGAAATTCTCCGCCCACCATTTTTGAGCTTGCCGTTTATCAAACATCTCACGACTGAAACCAAATAAAGAAAAAGAGATGTTGCCTTAATGACTACAACAACCAAGTCAAAAGTGTTGAGTTCAACTCTAAATGTCAATCAGTGAAAGCCTAAGTGTCCCTCTTTGATGAGGCTATGAAGAAAGTAAGCTAGCTAGTTAGATCATACTGCATCTCATACATGAACATGTCCCACCTACAAAATGAATATCACTAAACGTTTCCCCCCACACAACTATTCTTGGAGGAATCCATTTAAGATCTCAAAAACCTTTATTGGCAAAAGGATACACAACAAACGTTTTGGGACCACTTCAAAATTGATTCAAGAGAAATGCAAGTTTCCAAAACATAAGATAACATCTTTAATACAGATTGTACTTCTCATATCTTGTCCCCAAGAAACACACATTCTCTAACTAACCCCCAAAAAATCAAATCAAGAACATACTGGATTAAATTTCATTTAAGTTAATGATTTTACTTTTATGAGACATGTAATAGCTTACCTGAAACGAATACGCTTGAGATCGTTTCCACCCTCAGGCAACGAAACAAAAGTGATGAGAACACCAGGCTCCACTTGAGCAACCCATTCTTTAGGCTCATCATCTTCTTCTTCCTCCAAGAACACTGTAGACTCTGTCCTGCCACTAACTGATTCAGGTGTTCCTTCTCCACTCAAAAGCCCTTTTAGCCTTGACTCCATCTCTTTCCCTAGAATCTTTGGCGTAGAGCTTCCACTTCTGCTTCCAGGTCTCTTGTACGCATAATGGAACCTCCCTGAAGCTGATGCAACATCTGAATCACGGTGGTGGTTCCGGTTTGAAGAACCTGAACACGGTTTACAGCTTTTGTATGCCCCTGAGGCTTTTACCGCCATGTCTTTTATCTGAAAGGATTCACATCCAAACAAGTATCACATGATTGAATTATACACACAGAGGAAAAATAAAATAAAAAAACTGAAAGTCACAGAGTAAAGGTTTTGGCTTCTAGAGGGAAGACAAAAGAGTTTTGTACCCAAACAGAAACGAACAAGACTTAACACAGGACTTGTCTCGGGAGTTTTGTTCCTTTTCCCATTTGTATGTTTTCAGAAAAAGCAAAAAAGAAAAAAAACAAACAGTTTGTGAAAGTGACATTGTAAAGAAGAGGAAGTGTATGTACTTGTGACGTCAGGGATTTGATTGTCTGCTTAGACCTGGGTGTTTCAAGAACTCTGTCATCATCTTCTTCTTCTTCTTTAGATCTGCCATTGTTGGTGTTTAGCTGCTTCGAACAAGGTATGCAGGTGAGCATCTCTCTCTCTTTCACCCTCCACTTGTTTAAATTAGAGACCTGAGAGTTTTAAGACACGTTTTTTTCTCAAATCTAAAACCTTTTTCAGGAAAAAAAAATGAAATAGATTGCAATGATTTGTACCTTTATGTTACAACAGTTCCGCACTGTCACTTCACACTACAATATAAACACACTCGCAGGTCGCTAAATTAGATTGCTTTCTCTGTTACAGAGATTTTCAGATGTCACCCACCATTGAAATGACGGCATGCGAGAGGAGGATCTGCAGATCAGAGGTGTAAACGAGTCCACATTAAAACTCTCTCAAGGTTCGTTTAAGATTGAATGAGAGAGACACACAGAGTCTTTAAAATACGAAGCTGGAATCAGAAGCAATATTGCAAAAGAAAGAAAAAAAGGAAAGAACTTTGGTGAGGGAGAGAAAGAAAGAGAGGAACTTTGAGATGGTTGGACTCTGCGAAAGTTTTGGGCATAAGTGTATGTGTTGTGTTTCCTACTTCCTATATAAATCTCTTCTCTCTCTTCTTTATTTTTATTTTTTTTAACTATTAGCCATTTTCAGATTTTTGTTTTTTTTTAGAATTTAAATATTTATGTGGATTTCCTATACGCAAATTCAAAACACACAGATTCTGATTGGTATCCAGCTTATTGAGTTATACTATAACTTTATTGCAATATGTAATATTATCCGGTTTTTTTTTATCAAGTTCTTGTTAGGGAAATTAAGCCAAATAACAAAAAAAAAAAAACAAATTCACCAATACCATAACACTCTAATTTTTATTTCAAATTAGAATAATTATATAATAGAATTGTCTTCTAATCCAATGCTATTCTATAAATAGAGTGATGAACAAAAAATAATGAATTACTCTATATATAAAGTAAACTATTTTTACTCTATTATATAGTGAAAATATTGTATGATTAGAATATTTTTATTCTAAATTCTATTTATAGTGGAAAATAGATACCCTAACTATCCAAAATCACCTATCTCCCCTATTTTCTGTTTTTATCTCTCTCAATCATTTTCTGCAAAAAAAATTTGGTTATTTGATAAATAAACCATTTATGTATCTTTGTTTTGTTTCTTCAACGTCTATTTTTTTGTTTCTTTTTTCATTTACTTAGGGGAGTAAATAGTAACTATATGCAGTTTTATAACTATGCTGCTTGATTTATAGTACTGTATTTTGATCTATATTGAAAGTTTAAAATCAGATTTTATTCGTGTTATACGCATATATCTTACAATGAGCACATTTATTTTATTTATTTTTATAGTACGTACATCACTACTTAACCGAAAACTAAATTGTAATGCTACATATTTTTCAAAATTAGCAAATTTAACTTCATAAACCCTTTATCAAAAAAAAAAAAAAAAAAGAAATAAGACCAAGAAAAATTCAAATTCAAATTATGTTCTCTTTTTCTTTAATTCCTCTATCCGTTTGATCTTTTAATTTGTTTTCTTTACTCTGTTTTATTCTTTATCCATTTTTTTCCTTTTCTAAAGTACGATATTCAATTAAGAATAAAACCATTGTCTTTTATATTTTATTTACACTAAAAAGAGCTATGAAGCCGTGCAAAATAACCATGCCCTGATCAAAGATCGACACGTGCACTCTTGAGTGATTCTGGTTGTCGAAGAATAAAAGAAACCAACATGAAAGAATAAAAAGAATAAAAGAAACCAACATGAAAAAAAAAAGAATAAAAGAAACCAACATGAAAATAAAAACCAATATAATGTGTATTTTTCTTCTTCTGTAATATAATGTGTTATTTTGCCAAGTTTTCTCAGTTACGTGTAGTTAAAAATTGTAAGACATGGACTTTGGGAAATGTTAGACATAATATGAGCCACTAACTTAGGTTACTACTCAATCATCCCTAATTCATTTTCTCAAGTAAAGTGCATCCAAATAATATGTAAAACCCATGTTCAAGAATGCGCTAGGCGCTAGTCGGGCGGCTCGATTGGGCCTAGCGCCTAGAGAGAAAATCGGGGATTAAGCGGAAATTATACGGGGTAGAATTTTTAAACGATTTGATATGTTATAAGATATATTAATCTTTAATTGTGTATAATATTAATACATTTACATGTTTAGAATCTTATAAACACACACAAATAGAATATACAAAGTTAATATGATATAATTTCATCAAAATTATAATTTATTAATTTTTAAAACAAATAAATAGATAAAAAATATTATTAAAAAAATAAAAAAAATAAAATAAAAAATGGATTAGGCGGCCGCCTAGGCGGCTAGGCTGTCATTAGGCGGTCTAGGCGGGTTAAAATCGGACGACCGATTTTCTACGGCGATTTGGCATAAATCGGGGCGGAAGAGGATCGCCTAGCGACTAGGCGGCCGCCTAGGCGGCTAGGCGACCGAGTTTTAGAACAGAGTGTAAAACTAAAAGAATATAAATATATATATATGTCAGAATCTCATAGATGGTCACAGGAGCGCCGTGAAGCAACGGACGAGAATTAACTACACTGTTGAATTTGTTACCGTCTTTATACCATTTTAAATTTTGAAATAATACTTTATTCTTCCTCTTTGTTTTTTTTATTCATCTCTCTAACTTTCTTTTACTAAAGACAGCTAAAAACAATACATATTCGATTAGAAACAAAAATATTACAGCAAATGCATGATCAGATCGTATACTGAAAATATTATTTTTACCTTGCCACGTGAGATCACTGTGTTTTCTCTTGGTTTTATGTTTTATATTTTGTATTTTGTTGACAAAAGAAAGATATTTTGTATTTTATCCATTTTTTTAGTCTTCCTTCTCAATGTTTTCGCATGTATCGTCCGTCAACTATATTGTAGCCATTGATTCTTTTTTTTAGCTATATATTGATTCTTGCCTACTTAGTTTGATCAATTACGATCATTAGTATTAAATATTCATAGCTTTATGGTGTGACCAATAGTATTCTGCATCTTCCAAACTGAAAAGAGTACATAAAGTGACTAATCTAAAAAAACAAGTCATGATGAGACATGTAATTTAGATTCAAGCTTGTTATATTTTGATTATTATATCTTTATAGAGTTATTTTTCCAACTAAGCCTAACAATGCTTTTTGTCCCCCTACCTTTCTGTCTCTTTCAAGGCTTAATTTCAAAATCAAAACAAATTTGAAAGCCAAGTTAACAATATCCTCACTGTTAAGCAAACCATGCATCTTTTTGAAGCTTATTTCGAAGTATGCTTTGCTTCAGGTAACGCTTTGATAAATCTCTTTATTCTTGCTGATTTCTTTAACAAACGATATAAAAGAATATTAGAATCGAATGATCGACCCTTTACGTTTTATATTATGTGTTAAAAAGATCAAGAACGATCCCTTTATTTTTACTAAAAGCATCGCATAAATTAGACGTTCTTAATAGCTAAGGTAAGTGTGATCAATCAACAGTTAATAACCGAAGCTGAGCCCATTGTTTTTAAGGCCCAAATATAGTCAATAGCCCGCGCAAATCTGAACTGTCACAGAAAGCTTAGACCATATTAGTTTACCGTGCACTTCTCCGTAGGTGATCATAACGACCTGCTTCTTGCAGCGTCTTTGCTTCTCACAAAAAAATCAAAGCAGTTACTCAGCGACGATCACAGTCTCCGAATATTCTTCGCTCCAAGATTCACGGTGAATCGTTCATCGTCGCTCTCTCCGCAAAAACCATAACTCTGTGCGAAACCCTAGCTCACTGCGCTGGAAGCGATTGAGCTCGTCCTTCTACGGAGCAATCGTGCGAGGTAGCGATAATCTTCGTCGTCGGCGATAATCTTCAATTCTCATTTGTTCTTTCGAGTTATCGGAGGATTCAGGTTGCTGATTCAGTGTTTAGTTTTACTGGAATACGTACTTCATGTTAGGATACGTTGAAGATCATTTTCGTTGATTGCTGATGATTTGTATCAATGCCTACCTTTGTTTGCGTTTGTTTTCTTTACGATTTGTCTACATGTTCGTGCGGAATAATCGATATGGTGATGGTAATATCTGATTGTATCTTCCCGTTAGATAGTAATCATGGTTTCAATGTTCTGGATAGGCTATTCTATAGTTGCTAATCAGCGTATCCATTTCTTGTTAGTTTAAATAGTTTGAGGCTGCAATGGATACGCTGCCTGATCCTCAGTCGAAGTCTTCATCAAATGTATCTCCACACAGAAGAGGTGAAAGAGAGGGGGTTTTGAATAAGGCGCAGTCTGTAAAGTCACATCCTGCAAATACGCTGCTATATATCTGCAACCTCATATTTTGAGTTCTTATGCTGCAGACAAGTCGCGTGATAGTTTAGTGTACCTCACAACATGTATGATTGGGCATCTTGTGGAAGTGCATCTAAACAACGGATCGGTTTATAGTGGTATATTTCATGCTGCAGATGTTGAGAGTGATTTTGGTGAGGCTTTGAACCAGACTTTATTTTCCTTACATATGTGAAGCATAGAAAGACACTACTATTTCTTGCCATTTATATTTTTTTTGTAACTTCCAGGAATTGTTCTAAAGATGGCGTCCTTGATCAAAGACTGTACTTTACGAGGTCATAAATCCCGTTCCGATTTTTTCAGAAAGCCACCTTTCAAGACGCTCATTATTCATGCAGATGAACTTGTACAAGTTGTAGCTGAGGTGTGCTTTTTTCTGTTTAAGTGTATGTCTACGCGTTACTTGGTAGGGACATTACTTTGAGATGTGACATTTTCATTCCTTTTGTCATTGGTGTTGGTGTTAGGACCTCTCCGTATCCAGTGACGGCATGTTAAATGCCGTTCAGAGTGAGAAGCCGGTGGAGCTGTTGACGGACTCTTCTATATCAAAGTCTCGTCATGTTGATCTGGGAAGAGAGCTAATACCCTGGGAACCTGATGGAAATGTTCCTCAGGGCCTTGATAATGTTTTTGATCAAACTTGGAATAGGTATATATATAAATATTTGAATTTCTTGTAAATTTATTTATTGGATGCAAAATATTTTGTGCTTAGCTATGCAGATTTGCTAGCTAGATCCTTAGACTATGATTTCTTAGCTGAATAAACTAGACGAGAAAATGAATGAAATAGATTATTTTGTGTTTCGCACTTTATACTGATTATGATCTTCCTTCTGGAAAGCATATAGTATACTGTGAGGAAGAACCCTTGGTGAATGTCCATAAGATTAGGAAGACTATTGTTTTCATATCTGTCATAACATGTCGATTTACTGGTAGTATGCTCAACTGATCCGTTTATGCTTGTAGGGGATGGGATCAATTTAAGGTGAATGAGTCACAGTTTGGAGTAAAGAGCACTTACGATGAGGAACAATATACCACAAAACTTTCAAGTACTCAGACTAGAGAGCTGGAAGAGAGAGCCCGGAGAATTGAGAGAGAGATTGAGGGTGAAAATACTGGAGATGGTCATGTAGCAGAGGTGACTTAAGGGGGGGTGAAGTTTATTTGAGTAGATCTTTACATATAACTGCAGATTTCTAATTGTTCATGCTTGCAGGAAAGAGGCCTTCAGCTTAATGAGAAATCTGATATTGACGAGGAAACTAAATACTCAGCAGTCCGTCGAGATGATAGTAGGTTTGATGGGGAAGACGACAAATTGCTGGACACTTGCAATGATCAGACTTTTGGTGGTTCATCTACTTCTGGCGTCCAGAAATCAGCTTCTTCTAGTGGCAAGGGCTATGAAGACGTACTGGTATGGTTGAGTTCTTTTTTGATAGTAGTATAGTAGTTTCTAGCAGAACAATTGTTGATATCTGCCATTCATTTTCATTCAGGGTGACAGTCAGCCTTCTCGGAATAATACAGTCAGCAGCAGTATCAGGTCAACTTATTGCTATTAGGCTGTGGACTTTTTAAAAGACTCCTCTCACATTGTGACTTTTTCAACATAACAGTGAGAGCCAACTGGGTGAGCGAAGAGAGAACAATAACCCAGAGGTTCCCCACAGTAGCAGAGTAAGTTCAACTCCATGTTTATTATGGCTGTTTTTTTTTTGTGCAACAATTATGACTGGTTAAAACAATGATTGTGATTGGCATTTTAATTCATTATTTTTAACGTTGGTTACTTGCCTTTCTTTTGTATTTACACAGTCCGCTGAAGAATCAGTTTCTGGTCATGGTATATGCTACTTCTTCTTACTCTGTTTTCTATATCTGCACAACACTATTTGTTTATCCGTTTGAATAATTGATGCCCACAAAAGCCTGAACTTGGTTTCCTGCTGGCTACATAGAATTACCTTTTCATTTTTACGAAGCATAGCTCACGTCTATCTCGGCTGACTATCTAATGGCGATCGATAATGTTCCATTGATGGCTAACCCTTTTGAAGTTGCCAAATTGAATATAGGAAAAGTTACTTTTGTACACAAGAAGTGTTGACCTGTTTTTAACTTCAATCTATTTGGAAACCAATTCGTAGGCGTGAGTGTAGAGAACTGGAATACAGATATCGAAGAAGGTGCAAAATTTGGTGGTGGTGGAACCTCGGCGTCGAAGACTGTTGCTGAGAGAGAAAGGCAAGACAGTCAAGTTTCTGACAAAACAAACTCTGAAAGCTCTTTTGGGCAGTCGGATTCTAGAAGTTCAGAGAGCCGCCCAGCTTCTTCGACACCAAGTCGTCCTGGACTACCGCCAAGCTCGTCAATTGGTTCTTTGTCCTCATCAGAAAAGTCCACTCTTAAGCCAGATGCACAGGTTCTTTTTATTTAATTTCTTCACACTTGTGTGTGTCAATTGTTTTTTCTTCTTCGTGTTGTTGTCACTAATCATGAGTCGTTAAGTGCCTATATCTTCACATTAGATAGTAATCATGGTTTCAATGGCTTGTCTAGGCTATTCTTTGATTGCGTACTTGTAACCAAATTATTTTGCTGGCCTATAATTCATCGTTTCTTGGTGACAAAATATGTATACTTCTTGTTGTTTGCTCCCATGCTTTAAGATCTATGACTTTCTGTGCGGATTCTGCTCGCTTGTCTCAGTTGTTAATCACATTATTGTCGGGGAATAAGCTTTTGTCTGACTAGATCGTTTCATGGATTTTGATGTAACTTTCTATCTGTAGTTGACATAGCTCTTACTTGCACAAGAGTTCTTAATGGCCGTAGTTATTCGGGCTCATTGCCATTTCAGGCCTCAAAACATGAGAAAATATTGTTTTCGTAAATTAGTTTAATCAAACTAATCTTCTTTTTATTTAAATCAATTTCCTTGTTAGTTCAAACAGTTTGAGGCTGCAATGGATCCTGATCCTCAGTCAAAGTCTTCATCAAATGTATCTCCACACAGAAGAGGTGAAAGAGAGGGGGTTTTGAATAAGGCGCAGTCTATAAAGTCACATCCTGCAAATACGCTGCGATATATCTGCAACCTCATGTTTTGAGTTCTTATGCTGCAGACAAGTCGCGTGATAGTTTAGTGTACCTCACAACATGTATGATTGGGCATCTTGTGGAAGTGCATCTAGAAAATGGATCGGTTTATAGTGGTATTTTTCATGCTGCAGATGTAGAGAACGATTTTGGTGAGGTTTTGAATCAGACGTTATTTTCCTTAGATATGTGAAACATAGAAAGAGACTACTTACTATCTCTTACCATTTATAATTTTTTTGAAACTTCCAGGAATTGTTCTAAAGATGGCATCCTTGATCAAAGACTGTACTTTACGAGGGCATAAATCCCGTTCCGAGTTTTTCAGAAAGCCACCTTTCAAGACGCTCATTATTCCTGCAGATGAACTTGTACAAGTTGTAGCTGAGGTGTGATTGCTTTTATTAATTACAAGAGATCTATTTCTGCTCAAGTTTATGTCTATGCGTTACATGGAAGGGACATTACTTTGAGATTTGACATTTTCATTTCTTTTTTCATTGGTGTTGGTTTTAGGATCTCTCCGTTCAGAGTGAGAAACCGGTGGAGCTGTTGACGGACTCTTCGATATCAAAGTCTTGTCATGTTGATCTGGGAAGAGAGCTAAAACCCTGCGAACCTGATGGGATTGTTCCTCCAATTCTGGATAATGTGTTTGATGAGACTTCGAGTGGCAAGGGCTATGAAGACGTGCGAGTATGGTTGTGTTCTTTTGATAGTAGTATAGTAGTTTCTAGCAGAAACAATGTTGATATCTGACATTCATTTTCATTCAGGGTGACATTCAGCCTTCTCCGGATAATACCAATGTAGATAAAAGCTGTTCGGTATCTGGTGATGAAGCTCGACACTTTCCTGCCCCAGGCAGCAGCAGTAACAGGTCAACTCTTTGCTATTAGTCTGTGGACATTTAAATAATCTAAAAGGCTCCCCTCACATTGGGACTTTCTTTTGATCTAACAGTGAGAGCCAACTGGATGAGCGAAGAAAGAACAATAACCCAAAGGTTTCCCACAATAGCAATGTTCAACTCCGTGTTGATTATGCCTGTTTAAACAATGATTTCGTTAGGCGTTTTTAACATTGGTTACTTGCCATTCTTTTGTATTTTTACACAGTCAGCTAGAGAATCAGTTTCTGGTCATGGAGGTATATGCGACTTCTTCTTACTCTGTCGTCTATATCTGCTCCACACTATTTGTTTATCCGTTTGAACAATTGAGGCCCACAGAAGTCTGAACTTGGTTTCCTGCTGTCTACGTAGATTACCTTTTCGTTTTTACAAGCATGGCTAACGTTTATCGCAACTGATTATCTAGTGGCGATCAATAATTTTCCATTGATGGTGTCGACAAGAAGTGGTGACCTGCTTTTAAACTTCAATCTGATTAGGAAACCAAGTTACAGATATCAAAGAAGGTGCAGAATTTAGTGGTGGTGGAACCTCGGCGTCAAAGACTGTTGCTGAGAGAGAAAGGCAAGTCAGTCAAGTTTCTGGCAAAACAAAATCTGAAAGCTCTTTTGAGCATTCGGATGCTAGAAATTTACATAGGCGCTCAGCTCCTTCGACACCAACCCGTCCTGGAATACTGCCAAGCTCGCCAATTGGCTCTTTGTCCTCATCAGGAAAGTCCCCTCTTAAGCCAGATGCAAAGGTTCTTGTTATTTAATTTCTTCACACTTGATAAAGTGTTGAGCTGTGTTTTAATTGTTTTTTTTTTCTTCGTGTTGTTGTTCACTAATCATGAGTCGTTGGGTGTGATCAGGAATTCAAGTCGTCTCAATCACCAGCTGCTGTGCGGGCTCAATCTCCAGTGGAGAATACCTCATTCTACTGCCCTGTTGCACCTGTTCCGCAGATTCCTGTGCATGCTCAACCCCCAATGGTGGATGGCTATTACTGCTACCCTACTTCACCTAATCAGCAAATGCCGCGTGGCTATTTCTATTCCCGTGGTGGCTATTGCTATCACCCTGGTGGCTATTACTATTACCGTGGTGGTTACGGAGTAAGTTCATTGTGTTATATATACAGCCTGATATTTTGACTAAAAAAACAAAGCCAAAAAGTGTCTTAAACTCGCCACGTAAAAAAAATCGCAGATGTATCCACAGTATATTGGACCCGGCCAGCAGTATGGTCAACCCGGTTATCCTCAGATGGATTACTATACCGGCCAGCAGTATGGTCAACCCGGTTATCCTCAGTATGCACAAGCCCAGGTATGACACTAGCAACACAAAAACCCGTAACTATTATAAACCCATCACTAGTCACAAAACCAAAAAAAAAAAAAAAAGAATGGATCGAAAAAGGAAGTGTAATGATAGATAGAATTGTGATGTTTTAGTATCCGCAACAGCAGCAGCAGCCACGGCTGATGGGTCAGCCTCGTAGGCCGCCGCCTCCCCCTAACCAGCCGGTTATTGCTATTTCCACCTCTTATTCTTCCTTCTTCCCTTTTTAATATGTTCAAAGAGTTTTAAGTTTTCTGGCCACTGAGACCTCTTGCTCTGTATGTGTTGTTTCTTTTTTTGGGACAGGAAAATCCAGATAATGAATGAGGAGAGTAATAAGAACCCGATGGTGAGGAGGTTGCTTTTTCAGTCAAGACGTGAAGGAACTAACCCTCTGTTTTGGTTTAGGCTCTGTAAGGTCAAAACCATGATTCTTTAGTTTGGTAAAAGAGATAGTGAAATCGTTGAACTTGCTTATGCAATCATCCAGTTTTAGATTTTTCACCTCTGTCTAATAAAACGTAGAAGTTACCATCATGTATATCCAGTTTTAGATACATAATTCATTCTTGACTTCAAATAGCAGAGCTGAAGTGAAGTCATTGTGAAACATATTTGAAATCATACTTTTTCCAATATTGCTACTTCTTTGCAAAAGGAGAATCCACTAGGGTGTTTTTGGCCGGCGTTTCCTTAACACAAGCAGCAACAATAGAATTATTCACCATGTTTCATAACCAAAAAAAAAAGAAAGATTAAAAATGGTAGATTGAAGAGAATATCAATGTCCGTTAAAAGTTAGTGTTCATAATCAATTTGTTTGTATTGCTTGAAGAGAAGTGAGGTAAAAAGAAATTTAGCTAATAAATATACAATTTGCAGAGACAGTGAAAGAACTAAAAAGAAGAAGAAGAAGAAAGACATGTTTTTAGGAAGGAGACATGCATCTTCTTAACCTTACATGATTTATCTCTCTATCCATCTTCACCAAAGACATAGATTTTTCTAAAGTTGCGTTGACCACTTGTACTCTACTTTGAGAGGAGCACAAAACCATTTTGGGTGATAGGTGAAGAACTCTGCTTTGGTTGTTTCTTCTTTTGGCTATGCTCTGTTTTCTCCGATTCAAACTAAATGGAAACAACACTTTAAGCTTTGACGATGGAGATGATCTCTACTCATTTCCCAGTGATGAGACAAACTGCTTTTCAAATTCAGGACCATGATTCTACCTCAACGTTATCCACTGGAGCAGGAGAATCATCTGGCGAAGTTGAACGTTTACTGGAACATAATAATAGTTATGGCCACAACATTTTTGTTAACCATATATCTCAGGTCCAACATTGTTGAGACTTCACATGCATTTGCAATGTGTTGTAGCTGCTGAACTATGGATTTTTGTTTTGATGCAGGTTACAAACTACAAAGAGAACGAAGAGAGTCCTAGTGCTAGTCATCCAAACTCAATCTTGTCGAAGGTCTCTCAATATTCAACGTTTTGTTTTTTCAACGGTTAATTAGTCAATGATCTTTTAACTTCATTATGACTATGAATGTTGTAAATACGAAACTAATGACGTCTATTTTCTTTTCACTCAGGCTTCGTGGCCTCTACCTTGCATTGAAACGCCACATTTCTATGGTCTCATGGGCCGGCTTTACCGTATGCATTATCACAACACACGGTAGTAACACAAAATGATTACATCCCAAGATAATATTTTTATGCCGTGAAGCCTTTGCTTAAACAAAGTATCTGATCTTATCAAGTAACTTTTGTTTATTGAAATCTTTGAAGGTGCAATCATCCCCAAATTGGAGGGTTGATTCCTTCTAGGGTGCTAACATTACAACAAAACCTGCAGTTCAGGTTCTCAGGTTATCCATCAAACCACCATGTCTTAGTACTCATGTGAGACTTTTGCTCCAGTAATGGTTGATGAGACCATGACGGGAAGTCACACTTTGCTACTTTCTGCAATCAGTACTGACAAAAAAAAAAAAAATGAAAATCTTTCAACTAGTTTATTTCCTTCATTTGGCATTATTTTATGATGTTGAATTGTTTAAACTTATTAGTTCTGAAGCCAACATGGATTTGTGATTAATATAATATATAATAAGTTATTTTCTTTTGTAGAGCTCTTTTTTTTTTGGTGCCTACTCTTAGCCCATTGCTGCTCTAAATACCTGCAAAACAGGGTTATTAAATCAAACAATAGTAAAATATTTTCAGTTATCATATATTTTAGCTCAGAATTTTCCTCAGATACTTGTTATTTTGATACCAGTGTGTTATATGATTTGCTATAGTGATTGATAATTTTTCAGATAAAAATAAACGTCTGAAATAGCAATAGGTACGTACATCATCCAGAAGGGAGTGGAAACTCGTGGTACAACGCCTTTTAGTGAATGCTACTTGCTTTGGTATTGTGTATAGAAGAACCTCTTATATCAAAACAATTCTATTTTTTTCTTTCCTTTTGTATATTTGTTTGCTTAATTAGATGAAGAACACACATGCTTTATTATTTACAGCTCAAGAATATATTTACTTGGTCAAATTTGAGATGATTTTTCTTTGGAAATTCCTAGTGTTGGTGTTGTCATTTTGGATAATTGTTGTCCTCTAAATCACATTTAAACATTGCTATGTACGAAAAACATTATGAATAATGAGAATTCACACGTCAAGTGGTCCATTGGAACTTCGTTTGACCAACATAAAAGATTCAACATGCAGGAACAAAGACATAATTGTCTTCGTCTCAATTTACTAAGGTTATATTATCTCTTGATGTTTATATCCCCTCCAATCATATTTAAATATCTACACTCATATCTCTATGATTACAATCCTCCACCTACTAAATAGGCATCACAACACAATAATTCGTTGTACTGCTCGAAACAATATTGCTGGTACATCTATCTAAATCTTATATAAACATTATTATATAATTGGGCTGTGGATGGTGAAATTATATATTCAAATTTCAGTTGTGGATTTTGATGAGATAAAACTTTATCAAAATCCTAATCACCAACTAATACACATATTTAATTTATGTCGGTCAATCAGTGTTTGTGGCTAAACCTCAGTTTAGTGAAAGCTTGTAATGATGTATCTACAAAGATAAAGAAAAACAGTTTAATTTGTAATGTTTTCAGAATATTCTTCAAATGGATACTTCTCCTCCTCAAACATGCATGTTGGTGCGACAAAAGTGATCAACAATCAGATGATAAATGGTTATTTCTTATATCTTCTGAAAGTAATAAATACTCTATATGTTTCTTCAAAAGTGTCATTTTGACAATTTTTTTTGCTATAAAATGTCATTTTAAAATTACAATGCAAATTATATTTACTTTTAATTCAATATTAATTATAAAATAGTTTGATTTTATAAATAATTTTATTTATCTTAAATATTATTAGCAAATACGTATCCCCTATATATTAATTGAGAAACATTTGAAAAGATATAACCTCAATTTTGTATTAATTAAAAGAGGCCCCAATGCATAGGTGTCATTCAATTAGGTAGTCAATTAGATTCAATTGAAAAATAAGTAAGTTCACATTGGATTTTTATAGGTTGCTAGATACATTAGTTAGTCAAACTATATGATATAATGATATGATATGTTATTTTCTTTCCATAAATAAAACCTACGGAATTACCATAAATGACTAATATATATATATGAC